TTCCATGTACTCTATCATTGGTTGTGTCAGAACCTGTACTGGATTCCGTGGCCGAATAGTTAGGTACTTATTTAGCGGGCGTGGATATTGCTACCGAGGGTTGGCACTATTTGAAAAGGGAGTTCCAGGGTGACACTACAGAGTTACCAATAAGTAAAGACATTAGAGTAGAGTTAGCATCTGAGCTATACAAGATAAAGACTTTAGGTTGACATTTGATTGTGTGTAGATCTACTGGAAGTGTTGATGGAGTAGAGAAACGGAAGAGTTGAGAGTTAGAGCGAGTTGGGGTACCTATTCAAGTACCTAAGTACTTACATGTACTTACAGTGCCTTATCTAGCAGGGAAAGGGGCAGGCAGTGATGTCACGTGAAAGTCACGTGCTTATCCCTCCACCTTTGCTCTCCCTCCAAGTTCACCTTCCGCGAATTGACTGATTGATTGATTGATTGCATGAACCCGGCGTTCTACACTGCACCTTCAATTCCTCATCACCGCCATTGCCTGTGTACTCTTCGAAGAAAGAAAGAAAAGAGGTGCGTAGGTCATGGTTGCGCGCCACCGTTGCAGCGACCCGTCCTAGGTACTTTAAGTAGGTATAGAGTGGCAGTTCAAACCAGCGAGGACGCCGCCTATGGCACCAATGCGCCGGCAGTGCGTCAACTGGACATCTTGCCGGCTGCTCCCATCGAAAAATGGAAAATAACCCGGCGGAGGCACGGGAAAGCTCTGGTGGTCATGTCGCAGTGCCGGATGCCGCCCCTCCTTCGGGCGATCCCCCTGCCGTTGTCCCTGGTGTTAGTCTAGCCCCCAGTCCCGCGCCGAGCCCAGCCCCGAGCTCGACCAGTTCCGCCGGACCGCGGCCTTATGTGCCACAGTTCTCCGCCGCCACGCAGATGATTCTGTCGCGCATCAGCAGCAAGCCAGGCAGCCTCTCGGCCGCTCTCTCTTCGGCCTCGTCCATGGCCAGGAGCATCGAGAAGTCTGCGTTCGAGGATGCTAAGAGACGTCTCGTCATGAGCATGAATACTTCGATAGCGATGCCCATGCCGGCCCCCGCACAGACACAGCCCGGCTCCATGTCCGACTCATTTCAGCTTCGGACATCGGCCCCCCTGTCCACCATAGGGACGGCAACGCCTGTCATCGCCAAGCCACCAGCCCCCAGGTCCACCCCGGCAAAGCAGAAGGGAAAACAGGCACGAGGCACGAAGCGCAAGCGAGGAAAGGGAAACGAGGACGCTCACTCGAGCCTAAGCGAACCATCTGATAGCGACAGCGACGGGGCCGCGAAGGCGCGGAAAGCCACCATGACTAATCCAGGCCGACAAGTGCAGAAGCCAACGCAGTTCAATCCCACCGGTGCCGGGGGCGGCCAGAAGCGAAGACACTACGGCAAGCGGACCGCCGAACAGGCTCTCTGCAAGGTGTGCACGAGGGGTCTCAGCCCGAACAAGAATCAGATCGTCTTCTGCGACGGCTGCAATTCGTGCTGGCATCAGATGTGTCACGACCCATACATCGACGACGATTTCGTTAGTGACGAATCGCGTTCATGGTTCTGCAGCCGCTGTCTGGCCAAGCGTGAGAGAGCTTTAGCTCGGAAAAAGACGCTTGAGGACTACAAAGGAGTGAGCTGGGCGTCGAAGAGTGCCGAGCAGGTCGGTTTGCCTCCGCCTTTGAGACATGTCTACGTTGTAGCTATGCTAAAGGATTTACAGAAACGGACCTTCCTCAGCAACATACCACATTCTCAACTCGTCAACATCATCATGTACAGCACAGAGCTGCATCCGGAGCTTCCCATCTTCCCCGCTCAGGAGTCGGGTGCATCTTCCAAACGGAATCCGCAAGCTTCATCGGCAGGGTCAGCGGCAGGCAGCTCGTTTCCACGCTTGGATCCGAAGAACGTTGGACCAGCAACATTCACTAACGCGGTGTTGACTCCCGATGTGAAGGCTTCGGACACGGCTGGAAGGTCAAGGAGAAAGAGGAAAAGCTCTACGGAAGGACAGGGCCAAGCGGAGCGTGAAACATCGGTTGACTCAATACCCCCCTCCTGGCCTAAGGTTGGACAGGGCGTGCTCGCGGGCCTGGATCTGAATGAGGAGGATTTGCGGGACAAGAATGACTTCGAGGCCTTCAGCGTCACTTCCTACGACAGCAAGGGTCGGAAGGTGATGGAGAATGGCATGGCAGTGTAAGGCCGTGAGAAATCCAGTCTATGCAAAGCCGCTGCAGCCAGCCTGAAGACTATTTGCAGCTCCCTTGCACTTATGCTTAGCTGAGCGTAGGTTCTTATCATCATTTGACCAGGAGTTCACGATGCATGCGGCACCTTCGCTTATCAGCAGTCATTTCTGGGTGTTTCGGGGAATCATGTGGGAGGCCGATACCGGTTGCGTATCTCGCTTTTTTCAGAGAGATTACCTGCGCAGTGGTAGCAGATACGATATCTTGAACTGCGGTGATGGCCGCTGCCGCCTAACGGCCTCTGCTCGTTGAGTGGGTGGAACAGCCATGCTTTTACAACCTGCCTATACCATTCACCCTCACTAACTGTTTCAACCGCCTAATTCCCTCATGCCAAAGGCTCGCCCGCGACGTCCGAATTGTCACTACAACTAAAGAGCTAGGCCTGGGAGGGCGTGGAATAAATATTACGACGCGGAACTGTTCTATCCTCTCTATGTTGATGTCTATTGCCACGAGGGATGACCTCCACGCTATTGTGGGCAACCCGTCGTATCTCGGGGTCCAAGAAGACTGAAAAACCTATCGATTTAAGAACTTTCTCACACGATATGCAGAGCGGCTTGCTCGCGTGGTCTGAGCACGTGGCGGAGGCAACGACTTCAGTGGATGCAAGCAATACACGTCATCGGCTTCACGGGTGATGACCCCCTTGTATGCCAGAGATCATCGTAGACCGCGGCGTAGACGCAAACATGGTAGGGTAGCGCGCTATAAATAGGTTGATCGTCAGCTGGCTCAAATCCTAGTGTACCTAGGCTGGAAGATGGATGAGGGCGGACTTTTGGATTCGTCTGGCGCCAGGTCCGTGAGCGAATGGACAAAACCCATGTAACAAACACAACGACTCGCGCTGCTGAATAGCAATGTTGGTTGCTCCAGTTCGGGCCGTGGGACTTCGCGCCGCGGCTTGTCGCCATATATGTCGTAGATTGATGACTGACGGAAAGAGAAGCGGGGGCATGTGTGTATGAGGACCTCATGCTACATTATCTAGGAAAATACACTAGACAGGAGCCGATCTCGTATCGAGTGATCGCCATGCAGCTGCTCCGCTGTAAATTGTCTAGGCCGTCCGGCACTGATTCGGAGAGGTTTCGTACTTGTCTTCGCACTATGATTCACACCATCAGCCTCTATCTAGTCATGATGGATTGATGGGATGTCATGTAGGATGGGCTGATGTGGGAAGTGTGGACGGAATTCGTATCTCTTGACAAAAGAACGTGAGATGGCGAGAGCTAGAGCACGAGGATTCGGTCGCCAAATTCTCAATTCGTCTGGGATCGCTGGGTAGTGGAGTATCAAATGTCGGTAGGTATGAGATCTGCAGTCTTAGCAGCCAGCTCCTGCGCCGGGTATTAAAGGAATTTGGAGATTGTATTTAATCACTGCCGCTCGGGATGAGATGGCTGAACAGGGGGAGGGGAAGAAGTTCGGTGTAGAAGGAATTGAATCAAGTTAAATACCTTGGATTGCTCGTATACCTAAGTCATTCGTACTAATTATATAATTGAGCTGTCCCAACCGTTCGTGATACATGCTTTATCACCCTTCGAAACAATAGGTACCCACAACAGTCTACCGACTCTTCTGTCTTGCACACAAATCCATCTGAAGACCAACTCATCTTCATCCATCTCATCTCAAAAGCAAACCCAATACCTACTTCCTACCTAAGTACATACCTACATACCCACTTACCTATCAGCCAACAAACGATTTACGCACGCACACACATCGTCGCATCCCCATCCAGAATGCGCCCCCCAGCGCTCCTAGCCCTGGCGCTAGCGGTGCTCCCGGCGGCGATGGCGGACTGGCCGTCGTGCGCGCCAAGCTGCAAGTCGTGCGGGCTGTACTGCAACGAGGGGTGCCCGGCGCCGCTCGCGCTGGCCGACTGCAATCGGTGCCTGTACTGCCGGCGGGAGTCGTCGTCGTGCGGCTTCACGCCCGTCTCCTGGCCCGACGACCCGCCGGACCCGGCCCTCTGCGCCCAGTGCGCCCAGAGCTGCCACTGCTACATCGACGCGCAGTGCTACGACAACGTCACCATCACCATCCCCAGCTCGAGCGGCGCCGCCACTCCTACTCCTACGCCGTCCGTGGCGGCGAGGCGGCCGCGATAGGCCCTGTGCGTAGGCGAATTCAATGGCCGTCTGGATTATTAGATGAGCGGAAAGAGGGAGGGAGGAAAGGGGGAGAGTAAACGGTGATGACGATGATGGAATGGAACGGAACGATGTAGGAAAGAAAGGTAGAAGCAAAAAGCCGAGCTTGGCCAATGGGATTCACATCCTGAGTGCATGCATGCGGTGCTATCTGGCGGCTGCATACCAATTCTGACATCTCCCTGTTTTGGTCACTTGTCGCGAATACCTAGAACAAGCCGCGGCGACCAGTCATTTGCTATGCCGGGAATTATATCACCGGATGAATAATATCATGGTAAATGCCACCATAGTATATAAAGTTACGTCCAATCTTTGCGACGAAAGTTGATGCATCGACAAGCTCAGTGACGCTGACTCAATTGATTTCGGATGGATTTATTTACGACAAGACTCAAATGTTCAGGCGAAAGCATAATGCATGGTCAATATTAGATATAAAAACATATCCTGCTTCTCACCTGTCTCACGCTGAACAGTGGTGAAGCTAAACCAAGAGACTGGAATCCGCAATACACCACGATGAGGGTAACAGGTATAAGACTCACAGGCGAAACGGCTTCCTACACACTTGGGGCCGGTTGGCGCAATGGTAGCGTATAGACCTCCTACTCCAACTGCTGGTTCACTGAATCAGTTGTAGAGGTCAGTCTAGGGTTGCGGGTTCGAGTCCCGTGCTGGTCGGCTAGGTGCCAATTCCTGGTGTTCTTTTTAGCGGTGGACTCCTCTGACTTACTTACTGATTGAGGTATATCCCGCGGCCCGTGCTTATTACAGACTAAACTGCATAGGGATAATTCTGTTAATGCTTCTGAAAGTGAGAGGACGTACGAAGTATTGTAGATTTTTAATTAGCCTACTTAAGTAATAATCTAATTTTACCATTGAGTTTAGAAACCATCTTACGCTTTTTATTTACCAACTTAATGAATCAGAAAGACATCATGTACTTTGTACCTACCACCTCCTTTCCCACATGCAGCAACAGTCCTTCGTTTTTCTGGACACTGGTACAAGCTATCCCTGATTGGGTATAATGCTCCACAGCTTCCATGGGTACCTGAGTACTTACTTGTAGCTACAACCAAGGCCGTGACCGCGCGCCGCGCCAAACTGGAGACGCAAAGACAGAACTCACATTCTTCTTCATAACCTACTACTTCTTTTAATCTCCCGACAGTTCGCATAGGGCATTGTCACATCTACTCGCTTCCAACCGACGGTGATCCATCTCCATCTTCTCCTCCCGCCATCATCCCAATTGCCCCTCATATGAGCAACCCGTAACATCAATTCCAATTATCTAGCTCTCGCCCGTGGCCCCTGGAACCGACATATTCGAAAGGAAACATTTGAACGGGACAATGTCGTCTGTTTAATACCCGAAGACAGTCCCTATTGGCAGAGGCAGAAGCAGTGTCATCGACTCAGTTGCTGTCGCCTCATCGTCGCCATGGCCACCTCCGACGACTTGCCCAAGAGGCAGGTCACGCCTGTGCCCGTGCCCGTCCTCCCGGCCTCCCTGATTCCCCAGAAGCGCGTCCTCGAAGACGATCATGCGCCGTCCGTCTCATCCCCGCTCAACCCGAATCCGAGCTCGCAGCCACCACACGACGACTCGGCTGTCATGCCCCGGGATAAACCCACGAGGGCAAAGAAGGAGTCCTTGAAGAAGCGAGAGTCCAAGGTTGGTGCTGGTGGTGGCGCTGCTGCTGCTGCTAGCGGTAGCAATGGTGTTGGTACTGGTGGTGGCGCCGACAGTTCGCGAGCGACGCCCGATCCCAAGATCAAGGACCGCGTGCCCAGCGAGTTCGCGCCCTTGCGATTCAAGCTAGCGCCTCCCAAGCCCTCCGACTTCGATCCCGCGCGGGGTCCCATATTCACCCACCACCACGACGTCCCTGCCCCGGACGGTTCCGTCCTTCAGTTCTTCGAAACCTCGGAACAGTGAGTTGATCCCGCCCCCACCGCATCTCCGATAGGGGCGAGTCTTCGCGACCCGCTAACTTTCCTCGTAAGCGTATATAATAAGAGGAACTACCATTATCTCCACTGCATCGCCGATCCCGTCTTCCCCTCCTCTTTCTACTACCGTCAGACCGAACCCGAGCCCCATGGCCCCCATATCAGCTTCGAAGATGCTTCCACCCACATGTTCTTCGACCTGTCCGGACGGCACGTGACCACAGACAAGGGGTTTCGGCTGGCGAGGGCGAATGTGGCCGTCCGTGAGGGCACATGGTACTGGGAATGCAAGATTACACGGGGAATCATGAACGGTGAGACGGGGACAAAGAACACGAGCGGCGGCAAGGATGGAACATACCAGCCAGAGTCACATGGTCATGTGCGGATAGGGTTTGCCAGACGGGAAGCCTCGCTAGACGCCCCCGTCGGCTTTGACGCCTACAGCTACGGCTTGCGAGATGTCGCCGGCCAGAAGATACACATGTCCCGGCCGAAAGACTTCTTCCCGCCAGACGAGGATATGCGAGAAGGCGATGTGATAGGACTGGAGATCCGACTACCATCCGAGCATCTACACAGGAAGGTCGTCCAAGGACAGTACAATCCCGCCGTCGACCTGAATGAGGAGGAGGAACCCGTCATTGAAGCGGCCAACATCGTCCGCGACCGTATACCTATCCGATTCAAGGCTCACATCTACTTTGAGAAGATCGATTACCATACGACGAAAGAACTGGAGGACTTGATGAACCCGGCGCCGATGGGTGCATCCGGGCCAGGGAGCCACCGACAGAGTGACAAGCCGAACCCGAACCATGCCGTCCCCGCCCTGCGGACACTACCAAATTCCTACATCAAGGTCTACAAGAACGGAGTGCTGATGGGTACCCCGTTCACGGATCTCTTTGCCTTTCTCCCGCCTGCCTCGAGGCCTCAGGTCCAAGTCGGCGCCCGAGAGGGCAAAGACGACGGCATGCTCGGATACTACCCCGCCATTAGCGTATTCCGAGGCGGCGCGGTCGAGACCAACTTTGGGCCCGACTTCTGGTACCCACCTCCTGGTTATGCCACGTCCCAGAACGAGGTGGAGATGATGGATGTCGACGAGGACACTGTGCACGTGGGCACACCACAGCAGAAAAAACTCGACCGGACACGAGCCATCTCCGATCGTTACGATGAGCAGATCGTCGAAGATGTTGTGGCCGATATCGTTGACGAAGTCGACTTCTGGATGCAGGACGGCGCCCGCGTTCTCGATCGCACCGGTGGGCGCGACGAGAAGGCCGAACCAGTTGGTATCGCGCCCGCGAGCGAGGAGATTAAGGAGTTAGTTCAGGATGACTAGCTCCAGCTTACCCTCTCGTTCCTCCTTCTGCCACGTAGAATCTACGACCTATAAAGTTATGAAAAAGATACATATATGCGGAGATAAAGGAGAAGCTACAGCGCTTCAAGATTCCTGATCATCGAATCCTGGCCGTTAACACTCAGTACCATATGAGTTTGACTTGCCGAAAGGCCGGCGAATTGGCCAATCAGGATGAGCATATCTTGGCGGCCTGGAATCGGAAGAATAGGGGGCTTCTATCTTCCAGGAACACAGATCAGGCCGTTCAGTCTGTCTTATAGTATCATCCATCCATCGAGTAGCCAGCTGGAATAAGGCCGCCGACTCTGGCCAATGTGACATGATCGACTCGGTGGAGTCTATGATGGCAACACCCATCTACCACTCTAAGAGGAAGAAGGTATGCTGGTATAGTAGCGCAACTCATGAGAGGTTGCGACCCAACACATCGAGACGATCTGATTGTTTTGATCTTGGCAGATGCTACCGTCATGAGTCACCGGGTAGCAGGGGAACGATACCAAGTGCTGTCAATACAGATAGTTAGGTAGCTATCAACGTTGACCGGGGAGGAAAAGGATATATTCAACAAAGAGACACAACATCGATGTAGTGGTGTAGAGTACTCTTCGCCTACATTGTCATCATACCTGCCTTACTCTATTGCGACTACTTGGCTACCTGACTGACTCCCTTTTTATTCGTCTTTCATATCTCAGCTTTTTTTTCCCTCCAGATAATGGAAGAACGCGCAAATAGAAAGGGAGATTTCTCTCATACCAAAGTTGTTCCTGCCACCTTTTAATGTAACCCATGGTTCTCCCGCGCGTTCGCATTCAGGATCTCACCCGAGGCCACGACGATTTCGAAGTTGATGGCATTGTCGCAAATGAAGCCCTCGCGAGAGGAATGTATTGAGAGACCGCCTACACCACAGGCAGAAATTAAGCCGTTACTTTAGGACTACTTCGAACTGTCGAGATGATAAACGATCAGATCACGCCGTGCATGGAACATACCTTGCGTCGCCAGCCCTCCGATCGTACGTCGTCGATTTACGTCCCGTGGCGGCCAGACCATGCGGCTCCAGAAACTCGTAAACGGCCGCCCAGCGCTCGCAAGCAGCGACCTGGACGGTGCCGTCGTTTGAAAGACTGACGCGCCCAACGACCGGAGGCCAACAGTGATGCCGTCCTGGACGTTCGCGCAGTCGGGGACAGGCTATTGTCCGGCTCCTCGAATAGCGAACTGGATATCGCTGTCACCGACGAAGGGCCGGATCGACAGGACAAAGGCGGCCACTTCCACCTTGGACTTAAGGAGGAGGATGCGTGCAGGGGACAGGTCGCTGTCGAGTCCTGGGAGATAACTGTTGGTCAGGACTTCGTACCCCTCCGTGTTTCGGGGGTGACGAGACAAGCATCCTATGAGGCCTGTCTGAGAGCTGCGACGGCCTAGTTTACTAGCCTACTTTAGTATTCATGTTGAGGCAGTAGGCTACGGGAGCAGACCTGGTCAGGTCAAACAAGCTATATCGCCACCTTGTAATGCGTTGGCACGAAGTCCCTTGACCGAAAACCCCCTTCTCCCAGAGCTTCGTCTCGAAGTACTGAAGGTTAGTGGTAGTCAGTCAGACGAGGCCATCGCCAACCTAGGCGCTAAAACAACCATGCCTACATACCTTTTCATAGGGTGATATGTAGCTGTCCTCGTTTATATTGTTCTTCGTCATACCCCGGCCTTCGATTAGTCCTTTCCACTACCAAGACCTTTCGGAGCTTATAGTCTTCATCCGGACGGCCTCCCTCGCTCGTTCCAGCAACACCCTCCTCCAAAGTAGCTGCTCTTGAAGTTAACACTATCAAGCCAGTATATCCTCGCACGTACATCTCCCCGTGGATTTATACTGTTAGGGCTCTCATGAACCGGTCCAACCTATGACCCATTAGCTCTCTGCTAACTAGGGCGCAAACTTTCTACTAGGCCACAGGTGACAAAGCTACTGCTGTAGAGCAACCGGTCCCAAGCTAGTACTACTAGGGCTACTGGCTTCTCGCTAGGCCGTAACTGCTCGTCGAAAGCTGCCTCGGAGCCACGCGATCGAAAGCAACAAGTTTTCAGAACGCTTAGAACAGTTGTCCTATATGTACCATCCCACGGCGACATACCTAAGTACCGACCAACAATGAACCGGTCCCGCCATTTTGGCGCAGTGGTCAAATCTGGCAAGCTAGCGATAGGCGGGCCGACCCTAGTGTCTGTAAGCGTGGGCGCTAGCGCTACCTAAGGTCTGGATAAGTTTAGATCATCCTGCGGTTCTGGCAACTTACTGCTACTCTCTATGAGCTTCGGCCACGATCCACCA